TAATGTAACCATTTAATAATATACTGAGCCAAAAATTATAAAAGTGTGCATTTTTATATACTTTTTTTTCAATTTTAGACTTAATGTATCAAATTTAGAAATATAATGAAATATAAATGTAAAGTATATGTCTAAGTTTAACTGTATACCCAAAACTGAAGAACCAAAAAAGATATACCTAAAACTTCAAAAAAAAAACTAGAGATGACTTTTAAGATGAAAAAGAAAAAAAAAGAGAGAGAGAAAGATAACCTCTAAAGGTCATCGTGCCTTTTGACTCTTGTGTGCTGGCCACTTGTCAACCAGAGAGAAAGAGCGAGAGAGAGGACTTGACAGATGAATCGTCTTGGGCAATGCAATAGGAGGCTCGAATCACAGTTGATTGCTGGGAAAGAGCAATCTAGGTGTTTGTTGTCTCGCCTGCTGGTTGCTAAGAAGAAGAGAAAGGGGTGATCGAGTATGTTTTTCAATTTTTCTTCTATTTGTCAAGGGTAATTTTTTTGTGATGTCTATGATTTAGGGTTCGAAATATTGCAGATTTTATGTGGATTTCATCTTTTTCTACTCCTTTTCTTTTTTCTTTGGCTTGTTTCATTTTGTTTGGGATTTTGAAATTTTGGAGAAGATTCTCACCAAATCGGTCCGAATACGGTGCATATCGTCTAATGCCTACCGATATAACTCCGAGTCCAATCAATATCATTGATTAGTGGCCAAATCAGCATCGATTCATGGCCAAATCAGCACCGATTCATGTGAGACTTGTAATTTTCACCTATTTGCTCGTCTAACTCGTATCGGACTTCGCCGATACGATGAACCTTGCGATTAACTCTGCCTTTCACCGAATAAGCAAAAGACCCTTCACACTTCCCACATCTAGCAATCCGATCGCCTCTTCGATTCCTAATTTTCTTGGTTTTGCGGTCCCAAGTTCAAGAATGGGAGCAAAGACCCTTCACTCCTTCGGATTCCATTTTCGTTGGCTTTATGTTGTTGGTTTCACTTACTTTGATTCCTATATTGTTGTTTGAGATTGGGTACATGTTTTGGAATTTGCTATTGCTAGTTTGCAGTATTTTATATTGTGATTTGAGATATTGCAATATCTTATTGACTCATTTATGTTTGACTTGCTTTATCGGTTGATTGGGGAGTCTTTTGTTGGCCCATTATAAACATCATATTTTTTATGTTATTTATTTATGTTTTATAATTTTTTGTGCAGTTATGTGATTAATCTTTTTGTTTATGTGCTCTTACTTTGTTTGTCATTGTCTTCTTAATTTTATGGTACATTGTATACATGGTGTACATATTTCATGTTTTTTGAACTAAATTTTTATGTTTTATAATTTTTTATATTTTTTTATTAAACGACTGGTCCAAGTAGTTGGCCCAACGATTGAACCAGCAACCCATTGACCCGATCTCTCTATCCANGGTCTTCTCCTTCGCAAGTATTGATATTTCTATGAGCTACAGTCCAAGAAAAAATCTGCACTTTCACTGGCACTTTGGCCTTCCAAATCATCCCAAGAGGTTCAAACAAAGGAGTGGATTGGTTCTCAATCAAAGCATAAAAGTACGATATGCAAGAAAAGCCCCTAGATGAATCAAGAATCCAAATTCCTTTTATCCCCAACCCCCGGATTTAAGGAAACTGATTGAATTAGAGACAACAAGGATGAGAGCTCACACACATCCCTATTATTCAAGGCTCTAAAGAAATTAAAATTCCAACCCCCTTGACTTGATGATTCACAATACAAACTAGCAATTGAGACTTCTTGAGACTGAGTCAACCAAAAAAACATCTAAAAGACTCTAAAAATGAAAACTCACCCAACCATATATCCTTCCAAAACCTAATTCTCTCATCATTTCCCGACTTTAATTGACGAAAAGGAACTATATATTGATACGTTTAATCAAGTCCCGTTCTCTATTCCTATGAGGGGACGAGCGAGCAACTACAAGTAACTGTCTGACATGCTTCATAAACTCTACTAAACCCTGTGGAATGACTTTCCATGGACACCGAGAAGAGCACCTAACAACCACATTCGAGTTCCAACCATTTGGATGTAGTCCGTATTTGCCTTTAATAACTTCATGCCATAACGCACCCTGTTCAAGTGGAAATCTCTATAACCAATTACCTAACAATGCAATATTTTGTTTACTAAATTTCCCACCCCCAAACCCCCTTACACCTAAATTTGGAAACAACCTCCCACCTGCCAAGATAATTTTTTTTCCTTTCCCGCTTCTTTCCCACAAAAAATCACTCATCAATTTTTGTAGAATATCATTCTAGGAATCTTAAAAAGAGACAAAAAAAATAAATGGGGATATTAGACAAAACTAATTGAACCAATGTGAATCTCCCTCCCCTTGACAAATAAGTCATTTTTCACCCCTCTAATCTCTTTTCGACCATCTCAAAAGACCGGGTTCCAAAAACTCACCGATATAGGATCCCCCCCCCCAAAAAAAAAAAAAAACAGTGGTAGCCCCAAGTACTTTAGAGGCCACACCCCAATCTTGTACCCTGCACTATTTGCAATCCTATTCAACCTCTCTTTTAGGATGTTTATTCCTACAATTAAACTCTTACACATTCCACTTTCAAACCTGACATCACTCTAAAGACCTCAATAACCTCTATTACATTCTTAGATTTTTCCTCATCCCCCGACACAAAAAATATAGTATCATCCGTGAAATGGAAATGTGACACCTCCACCCAATCCCCCCAACCCAGAATCCCTCTATAAGACTATAATCTCTAGCCCTATCCACCAATTACTAAGCATATCCGCTATTAAAGTAAAGAGAAAAGGTGACAATGGATCTCTCTGCCTAAGATCCTTAATGGCATTAAATCTCCCATGTGGCTTTCCATTAAGAACCACTAAACAATTCATCGACTCTAAACACCCTCTAATCGACTTCCTCCATCTACATCCAAAACCCTTATCTTTTAAAACAAAGTCCAAAAAGTCCCTATTCACATGGTCATAAGCTTTTTCAAAATCAATCTTAACATCCCCCAAAACTTCTTTATTCCACACTTTCAACTCCTTTTTGACTCTCTCCAATTTCTTCATGAATGCATGCACTAAGGCACTTTGCCACCAATCTCTAAAACTTCTTTTTGAACGAATAATGTGTTAACCACATATTTCAAATCTAAATGGAAAAAAACCCCACTTGAAAGCATTAGAATCTAACATTATCGGACAATGATCAGAAATAACCCTAGCTAGCATATCAAGTCTCACATTTGGGAAAACTTCCTCCTACCCCGCCAAGCAAAAAAATCTACCTAATCTTCTATATATCATATTCATACTATCATTCGACCAAGTGAAAAGTGCATTACTTAAAAGAGGATCTATCAAATTTGTTTCCCTAATTAACTCATTAAAGTCTTTTATGCTTCTAGTGACCCTACCCCATTCAATTTTTTCAATACAAATCTAGTGACATTAAAATCACCCCCAGGCACCACTTAGGACCACATAATCCATACAACCCCTCCCAAAAATCCCTCCTAAAACAAGGCTTGTTTGGACCATTAACCCACAACCACCATTGGTTTCTCCCATCTTTCATAATAAAGTAAATTGAAATTGCATAAACTCCTAATACTGACTCAAAAGGTGATACAATCCTAGCATACCACATAATAAGAATGCTACCCCATGGTTACCACAATTCAATAAATCTTTGACGACCCATGATCTGGGTACATCAATCCCAAACGAGGTGGGTTCGTGATCTAAATCACTGAAATGGACGACCCCAAATTGTAATACTAACTCTAAATCAATTCGCTTTAGAACATGTAGCACAACTATAAAATATATTACTTGACTACATGTATATAGATTTATAATTATATATTGTTTTAAATAATAGAAAATCAAGCACAGTCATAAGATAAATGATTATTTATGAATGTTCTATAATATATAATGTTCTATAGTAGTAAAAACGATCTATATAAGAATTCCAAAACAAACTGCGACCCAAAATACTGAACTAACTAAACATACCTCATCATACTGCATACCTAAAAAAAGTGTCCTACCATNAAATCAAGCACAGTCATAAGATAAATGATTATTTATGAATGTTCTATAATATATAATGTTCTATAGTAGTAAAAACGATCTATATAAGAATTCCAAAACAAACTGCGACCCAAAATACTGAACTGACTAAACCTACCTCATCATACTGCATACCTAAAAAAAGTGTCCTACCACNCACACCCCAATCTTGTACCCTGCACTATTTGCAATCCTATTCAACCTCTCTTTTAGGATGTTTATTCCTACAATTAAACTCTTACACATTCCACTTTCAAACCCGACATCACTCTAAAGACCTCAATAACCTCTATTACATTCTTAGATTTTTCCTCATCCCCCNACGTACCCTTACCCGTACCACGTATCAAAGCAACCCACAATCCAAGTAACATTGTGCTACCCGCCCTACCACATGAAAGTAAAAAGACTCGCTCCTTAAACCTAACCCCCAAACCCATCATTCTACAAGTAATTTTTTTTTTTTTGTTTCTTGTAACATTACAATGCCTGGATTATTTTTAATTAACACGTGCCTTATTACTCTCCGTTTTTCCCTACAACCTAGACCTCTTACATTCCAACTAAGGATGTTCATTAAAACCAATTTCACCCCCATTCTCCTTCCTACTTTTATTACCCTCATAATTTATTACCCTAGATTCCAAATTTTTTAATTCTCTTACGCCTTTCCTAACCCTTGTTTCTTTCCCTTTTATAGTTTTCTTACTCTTTCTTTTGATTGGCACCAAAGACAAGTCCATTGAAGCCAAACCTCTCAATCTACCCCACCCTTTCTCATCAAAGAGAAAATCCCCTTTCAATCCCTTTGACTCAACCCCATTATTAGATGAACCCCTACCCAATTCCTCAACCTGCTCTAATCGTTCAACAACTTCACTACATCCAAATCCCCCCAACCCCCAACCGGTTGGCCTTCTCTACCCCTACCAGGGAAGTTATGGAATTATAGTTATCAAAAGGAACAATTTCTTTTTCAATGCCCTTAGCAGCAGACTCAAACTGTGGTAATTTAGGGTTCAACTCTTCATCCCCAGCAAAACTTTTCACAGGGATTTCAGATTCATGATTTTCAGAAAAAAAACAAGAGGAGAAGGAACTAAAAACCCACACCCTATGTCCCTTATTCCACCCCCAGATTTTCCACCAACACTTACCAGATTATTGAGTTCCTCCACTTGAGATGATTCATCAGGCCTAAAAGGCCCATGGTGACTGCTGGACTGTATCTCAATATTGTAAATGACATTGTTTTGAATTGTAAATAGACATGATTAATCCAATTGTTCGTAAAGGATTATAATTAGTCTTTCCAGTTATATTTTTCTTACATACGCTATATACACATATCTTTAGTTTTTGGTGTTTAACGAATTTTTAAGTATCAAATAGGATGTAAATAAATATACTTATATCATCTGTGTTTTTTCAATTTAGAGAAGATAATTAGTTTGTTAAAAGTGCCCACCCATATATGATTTTCTGGCACTGCCTGTGTGCCCTTCACAATCAAAAAGAAAGTATGCCAGACATGACTTACAACATAACAAATTACATAAAGAATAAACCATTCTAAAATGGAGTCGACTTTGAACAGATGCTACCTTGTCAAAAGAATCTGGCTCTTTTCTAGCTGGTGAATAAGTTACTGAATCAGTCCTCTCAACACATGTTCCAGCTGTGCTTTCAATAAGTTTCCTGCATCACATTTTGGTAAAGAGGTAAATAATAGATCTTTAAGGGAAAAAATACATAACCCAAAGAAAATTTAAAACTACTATCAGTTGCTTAATCAAATTCAATTCATAGTACTTTACTATACAACTGTACCAATTTTTGGAGAATTTAGTTGAAAAATCTACTGATATAATGACACTTGTTAAAATCACTATAGTCTACAGTCTCAAATAAATCACCTGGTTCCAATTTACAAAAAACAACAAAAGAATAAGTAATAGAATATCTAACATGCTCAACTCAACAAAGCCTTGTCCCAACCATTTTGGGGTCAAAATAGAATATCCAACATGAGAAAAGATAACGCCACATCTAATTCACATAAGGCAAGTGATTGAACACATGTATCTAGCCTGATGCATGTACGGTGCCACTATAGATTCGACATGCAGAGTTTATGCTGTTAAAGATTGGGAGAGAGACATAGTCATCAAAGGTCTCTCTGTTCTCAATCTAATGGTGTCTGAAATATAAAATGAACTGAATAATTTTAGAAGACATAGGGAGAACAGATAAAACTAGATACAGTCATACAGTTGTTACAATTAGCTTCTGCTGTTCTATGGAATGTCTCCTTCACTTCACTCAAAATTACCGAGTGTATGGACTCGAATTGGTAGCTATTTATATGCTAGATCTACATTTTCTAATTAGTATAAAATCATTCATCATCGAATGTAAATTTTCAATAGTGCACAGACTAATGGATTGTGGAAGGTGTTGAAGCATATCATAAATTGGGCTAACATGGCCAGTGCTATGATCGGCAAACATCAGATATTTGGGTCTTTGGAAGTCCAAAAATACCAAATCAACATGTTCAAACTGATAATCAGATAGGAGATGAGATCAGAATAATCAATTTCGGATTAGAATTTACTAATTTAGAGGGCGGGCAACAAAATTGTGCATAAAAATATAGATTCTGAATCTTACTCTCTGTGGTTGACCTCATAATGCTTAGCTTCTTTTAAAAACCCGCACACACACAAAATCACGCCCTAGCTAGTTTTATACATAATCTCTCCAATGGCTCCATAAAATACTTAGTTAGTAAAGAGGGTCTATGTAAAGCCATATAATGGTCATATTGGCATCTTTTGCTTTCGCACAGATCTTACAACAAACACAATGAACTAGGTTACTCACTCATATTTTCAGACTTATATTGTATATAGCAGATGTAAAAATATCAAGATATCCTAAGATTGTGCAGAAAGTATAGATGATTCAGTCTGTACTCCATTCATCCCTTCCAGCACCCCTAATTCAGGGTGACCAAATTGAGTAGTGAGTAGTGACTCTTTCCTTATTGTTTTATAAGTGATCTACAAGTATAGCTATCAACATCTAACACAAGATCTCTCAACAAAACAATGAATACTAGCAGTTTGCATCTTCTCTCAAGGTTCATCACTCTCATTTTTAGATTTACATTGTTTTATAAGTGATCCAGACTAAATATGATTGTTGTCATCAAGTTGCCGTTTGTGCATTTTGTCCTTTGAACTGAAAAAAGGAATTGCTTCCATGATTATTCATGTGCAAACGANTTGTGCATTTTGTCCTTTGAACTGAAAAAAGGAATTGCTTCCATGATTATTCATGTGCACACGAGAGAGAGAGAGAAAGAGAGTTTCAGTACACCAGCTCTTGGCCTCTCCCAACTTACTTTTGCATTCCCAGTTCTTCTGTCCACTCCCATAGCTTATTGTGCCTGAAATAAAGAACATAGAAAGCAAATTGCTTAAATGACTCACTAGAGAAGAGATGAAGCTTTAGTTCCAATCCTTAATGAACCATAATTTAAAATACCCTCTAGAAAGAAATCTTGCTGCTTTAACGCTGAAAGGTTTTTCCAGCCATCTACTGTATTTAATAAAGCTCTGAAGCCAGTGTGAACACACATCTAATACTATGGGGATAGCTTCAGCATTGGGTGGACTTGCCATCTTACTTTTATGGTGATGTGAGCGTTTGGAGGTATTAGAGATGCCTGGATAAAAAGGAAGCCAGTCCAGCTCCTCACAGACAACCTGTTGAATGAAATTATCATTCAATATGACCACAAAACTTACTTCTTGTATTAAATTTTTTTTCCACAAATGCTAACCTCCACATACAGTTGATAAGAACTAATTGATGAAAGCTGAGGGTAATATAATACACTGCCCCCAATGAGGTACCTGATGGTATAGGCAACAAGATTAGATATGGTTAAGATTCAGATTGAGAAATACTAGTCAAGAGAGAAGGAATTACCTTACGAATCCTTCAATAGGTTCATCTAGAGCCTCAAATCCATTTGCATATAGAAAGGATTGGGTACTCCTTCCTAAGGCAATGAAGAATCCAAATATAGCCAAATCTCTCTCCAATACCTGCAGTGTATTAACCTTGGCTTTCAAAAACAGCTTTGACATGAGAAGTATGTTAACAGGAGCATGCACAAAAAGTTCACAAACATGCAAGCCACAACTGTTTTCCATGCCAGATTCACATTTTCCAGCAATAATGTCATCAGGGCAGAATGGCAACACAATCCATTCACAAAATCCATCCCTTTGACATTATCATTATCTACAAATGCCTTATTGAAGCAACAGCTCCTGTAACTAGTCAAATGCACATAAGACCTGTGCACCAGGCAAAGACTACAGTACTTTACAGTGATCATCTTCAGGGATCGATAATCCTAATATATGAACATGCACCACTAGCCCTTTATGGCAACAAGCTCTTCAGAGACTTGGACCAGGCAAAAGAGGATCTACTAGGACAACCATGACTTGGTTCGTGCAGCTTCTTCAACTGCAGCATTGCCTCCTCATCCACCAATGTTATTCTTTTGTTTAATATTTGGAGCTATGAAAATACAATGCTGATAACAATTCCTATTTTAGGGATGTTCTGTCACCATGGCAAACAATGTAACCATGTATTTTGCATTGCCATTCCCGTCTAACAACAATTATTGAATACGGACCACGTCTTATTCTTCACACCTCTTATGATTTGGTTAACCCAACCCCCAACCCCCAACCCAAAAAAAACAAACCCAAACCCCTCCCCCACACGCCCAAAAAAAAAAACAGAACAAACAAACACAAAAAAAAAAAAAAGACCCCCACTTGAAAAATATTACGCTTACCAAAAGGAAGAAAGGCTTGTGATTGCCAGCTGGAAGTTAAGCATGATAATGTAGGTTAAGTGTGGGGCCTTCCCCAAGCAAACCTCAAATTGATGCCTTTCTTATAGGACAAACATTAAAGACATTAAGACAAATGCATGCATAGCATTTTTGAAGATTTTACCTTTTTTGTTAAAGTTAGACAAGCAACATTGGTTGGAGTGAGGATATCTTCGGCGATGTGCTCATGCCATCTAGAACTGACATTTAGAATTTTGCAACTTAAAATGGATAACGGCTTTAAGCTGTCATTAGATTAGCAACTCTATTCCTCTTGGTTAAAGCTTTTTAAGATAGAAGCTTGGGTGGTTAATTGTTTCTGGATTTGGCCTTCTTATAGATAATAAGATTAACTTCTTTTGCTTTTACAACTACTTAGGTTGATTTCTGTATGAATGTGTCATGTGTATGTGGGTTGTACGCCTTTGGCACTCTAAAGACATTTTACTCATTGTGGAAGTATATTTCCTTTAACTTACTGTGATACAAGTGTAAATTTGTGCGCGTGTGTCATGGCTATCAAAATCTTGATCTAGATCTTACGAAACTACGATCTAGAATAGACAAATCGATCAAAGTCGCTTGTAGAATCTTAAATTGATAGGATCTTAATGAATTTTTGATTTTGGTTTTATAGGATCATAGAATCCCAATCCAAATTGTGATTTTACCGACAAAAGTTATTAGGTTTGTTAGGCCCATTTAATTATTAAGATACCAGTTGATTAGGGAATTTCGGCAGATGAGAAAAGATGCATAAAGTTCTTTTTATTACAGAAACTCCCATTGCAAATTAAAAATAACTATCAGGTTTGATCTCACGAGTGATAATTATCAAATAGTCTTCCATTTTCACTTTATTTTATTTTTTTTGTTTAGATGTCAAATTGCTAAAGTTATGTATTCAACAATCTCTTAACTTTCTAGTCTCTCATTAACATTTATCTATCTTTAAAAGTTAACGTCAATACTTCAATTCTCCTACTTCGTCTCATAAANTCTCTTAACTTTCTAGTCTCTCATTAACATTTATCTATCTTTAAAAGTTAACGTCAAAATACTTCAATTCTCCTACTTCGTCTCATAAAATCCCACAAGAATAATAATTCACCTTTGAATTTTAATCATCTTCAATGCTCAAATTGAAATTTCTGAAATTCTAATTGTATCTCTAATTTTTATATTTTTTGTAACACTTCCATTACATATACACTAGGATTGGATATATTTTGTGCCACGTTTTTTCAATATGTAGGATTTTACGATTCTCGATTTAATCCTACGATCACGATACTATATTCTTCCCCATAGATTCAAGATCCCAATTTTAAAAACCTTGGCTTGTGCATATATACATATGCTGATAGTATATTTTCTCTACACAATTTAGGCATCATAAATATACCACTTATCCTTTCTCAAAAGCAAAGAGGGTATGGGCCCAATGTATCTCGTGAAAGTGTCAATAAAAGTCCTAAATCATCTGAATCTTAAGAATAAAATAATAAATTAATTTGAACTTTCAAAGCAATGGGAGACCCCTTCAGCAGTACAATGCCAACGAGCTGATCCTAGAATTGCACAATAGAAAAAGATCCAGCACTAACCTCAATGCTTTCACATGTCGTGAGTCTGGACCATATTCTCTCCCTATCTATCGCTTGCTGCAGCTGTTTCTGTAGAAGACCCACCCAAAATATAACCTCAATGCCCTGATCATTTTTCACTCTACAAGCCGCAGCTCGAGGACCAAAATGGACAAGGAATTCTCTGCGTAGACCAATATCCTTTATAGAATGATAAGCTTGGCGTATAGGAATGAATTCAACCAGCATGTCCATCAATCTCCCAGTCACGTCGGGAATCATGGAGAAGAACTGTGCACAATAAACTTTTGTAGGACCTAGCTTTGTGATGGCCGCAATGCAACTCAGTGCAAGCATGAGTAGTGATATGTCACTTGCATTGCCTGAACTTAAGGACACTCCTTTTCCACATCTGGACATAAACCACGATAATGTCATTTCTTAGTTTTATTATTTTAGATGTATAGAGTATTGAGTGAAAATTTACACTGCAGTAGCAGCAGCAAAGCGTTGATCCTTTTCAAAATGATTAACAAAACTGGTCACCACAGCTGGGACTTGCTCAGACCAAAACCAATCATAAGCTTCAGGCTGCTTGGCTGATAATTTTTCTCTGATTACACTCTCCAAGGGAGCAGATTGTCGTAACAAACTGCACCAATGCAATAGTTATAGCATATGAACAGCCAAATTTCAAATAAATAACAATAAATAATGAATTTCAAAACAAATAATTGAAGTTGGTGACAATAACCGCACTTGAAAAGGAAGCAAATAAAACCACTAGTGTATGATCCAAGCACACAACTAATGTAAGTAAGAAAAAGGAGGATGGAACTCTATAGGGAAATTATGATCTACAAAAAGAAATAACATGCGATCATCATAAACTTTTTTAACCTTAGTTTAATGAAATAATACTCACAATGTCTTCCCATATAAGCCTCAATGCCCTAGCTAGGATTACACTTTCTATCTAGGAAGCATGGATATCCACTGGGGGGGTCGACTTGGGGTTGGACACGAAAACAATTTTTTTTCAACCAGATACGGTTCGGATACATGGGTGATATGGCAGGGTAAGTTTTGTTATTTTAAAAAATTTAGGGGGCTGAAATGAAAAAATAAAAAAAGAAAACGTGGTCATTTTTAAGGCGGGAAAAAGAGCATAAAAAAGGGAAAGCTTCAATTGAACTACTCCAGTCTTCAGCATTGACAAAGAGGAGGAGGAGAACTGGAGAAGAGGCAAAAGCTCCAATCGAACTCTACTTCAGTCTCTAGATCTGCTTCGGCAACGAGGAGAAAAGAAGGAGAAGGAGGAGAGGGAAGACCTACGAATCTCCAGATCTGCGATCTGCTTCAGACAGTGTATGCATCTCCAGATACTGCTCCATGTTCTCTTTCTTTTTGGGGGGTTTTGCTACTTTTGTGGTTTGCATGGATTGGGGTTGATTTTTTGCATTGATTTTGTATTTAAGTTTAGGATTATCTAGTTTGCTAATTTGGTTGGNGGATATGGCAGGGTAAGTTTTGTTATTTTAAAAAATTTAGGGGGCTGAAATGAAAAAATAAAAAAAGAAAACGTGGTCATTTTTAAGGCGGGAAAAAGAGCATAAAAAAGGGAAAGCTTCAATTGAACTACTCCAGTCTTCAGCATTGACAAAGAGGAGGAGGAGAACTGGAGAAGAGGCAAAAGCTCCAATCGAACTCTACTTCAGTCTCTAGATCTGCTTCGGCAACGAGGAGAAAAGAGGGAGAAGGAGGAGAGGGAAGACCTACGAATCTCCAGATCTGCGATCTGCTTCAGACAGTGTATCTGTGCATCTCCAGATACTGCTCCATGTTCTCTTTCTTTTTTGGGGGTTTTGCTACTTTTGTGGTTTGCATGGATTGGGGTTGATTTTTTGCATTGATTTTGTATTTAAGTTTAGGATTATCTAGTTTGCTAATTTGGTTGGGTTGAGGTTTTGAAATTTTGGGGTTTTTTTGTTGTCAATGTGCTGCTGATTTTTGCTGTGTATCTGATTCTGGTTTTGCTGAATGCTAATTTTTGTTGTGTGTATCTGATTTTGCTGATACATCTGATTCTTATTTTTGATTTTGTTGTGTCTACTGTCTTATTAGTTATTATTAATGTTGTTATTATATATATAAAAATATATAATATTATTTTTAATTAATCATATCCTTGCCGTAACCGTGTCCATTATTTTGGGATTTTGTCGTATTCTTATGCCTGTACCATATCGGATACAACAACCGTAGTCGTATCCGTGCTTCATAGCTTTCTATCTAATCATACTACGCCCTACCTGGGATTACACTTTCTACCTAATCAGATGCCTCCATATTCTCCGCTNGCTTTCTATCTAATCATACTACGCCCTACCTGGGATTACACTTTCTACCTAATCAGACGCCTCCATGTTCTCCGCCGCTGACATCTTTTTTGGCCTTCCCCTCATCCTTGCAACATTTTTTAACCTATATTATGGCAACTTTTGGCTGGAATACTCACTATTAGAAAGAAAGAAATCTGAATTATCAACATTAAAAATATTCAATTAAATATCCGCAAGCTGCCCCCAAATATTGGTACTAGAAACACTGACCAAAGATCCAATTCTCCAAAGAAAATGCTAGATATAAGACTGATGATTTTGCCATTCATATAAGTAAACTCAGTTCCATTGGCTAGTAACGAGAATGATACAATATTTTGTCATCTCAGATGCAAACGGGAGAAGTGTAAACAAGTAGTTATGACATTGCCTTTAAAACAATGGTGTCTTACCTCTTTTGGACAAATACATTGATATCCCTGTCTCTTCCATCTCCTCTAGATGAAATCTCACTTGCTGCTTGCAGAATGGAATACACGGACGCCTGAAGAAAGGTATGAATCTTTAGCCAACCTAGACAATAAGGGGCATAGGAATAGGAAAAGAAAGTAAAATCTCAGAGAATCTATCAACAAAAACATTAGCATAAATGATAAGCTTCGAATTCCCAAAAAAAACACACACACTTTCACCAAATCATATTTATGTCCTCGAGAAGAAATGTAACCAGGTTATGATCATGAAGGAAGAAATTTCAGCCATAATAGTGTAATGCATCACCAAACAACTCTACCATGAGACTCACTACTAATATTTTTTCCTTCAGAAATTATACAAATCTAAGAGAAGTCCATCCGAATTTTATTCATTGTACCAAATTAATGGTCATTATTCACTCTGCCAGCAAGAATAATCATAACTCAAAATTGTCGTCAAACTGTATTATTTTATAAATTAACCTCCGATACATTTATATGCAATATTATTTATTCATTTATTCTGTCATGTAGTGGATTGAAATTAGCATGTGCGAAAATAGAACCAGAATTACAGTCAGCTAGCGAAAAACTCTTTAATACCATTCTGGTGCCCTGCATCCTTAGTCTTGATGTTTACCCAAGTAAAAGGTTAGGTGAGAAAAACAAAACTTAAACAGGGAGATTTGACCCCACAACTCACACTACCAAACCTATACAACAATGTTCGGATAACACCCAAAGAGAGAAATTACACTAATGCCATAACTCATAAGTGCAACCAACACTCCTCGGCACCAACAAAAAAGATTTGAGGATAAACAGTACAAGGCCTTGCAATAGAATATAAAAATGGATCCTTTTCATAACATAGTTGGAAACATAATAAATTAATGACTTTTGGTAAAGGGGGAAAACACCTTTCCAATATTTTTTGATATCAAAGGGGCATTACCAATCATGTAAAAAATCAAATTATGAGAGAAAAGCCGGCTATTAGAATTGAACCAATGACCGTCACATTACAAATGCGATGCTATAACCTCTGAGGAGCTATGCTGGCTCACATAAAATTGTACATGTGTAAGTAAGAAACTATCGAATCTTAGCTATTAATTACTCTTTTCATCTAATATGAATATAGAAAAGAATAATTAATTTCAAATGGCTATCAACTACAAAATTGCAGTCAAGTAAACTAGAATATACCTCTTTTTTCCACACAAAAACATAGTGGTGCTTTGGTTGCCAAAAAAAAAAGAAAGAAACCGGAAAAACTTCAATAAACACAATCTAAATTTTTTGTCACTAAAATTTACCTCCCTTTGAAAGGAAGATGGACCAACTGAAATCATTTGCTAAGGAGGTGTTTCAAAGATACATTCATTGCAGGTTCAAAATAAAAACAGTCACAAGAAATTTTTATGTAAGCATAAATGACATGTACAAACATTCATAAAACCATTTCTCTGACCAACCTGGTAAGATAGAGCCTTCAACCATGCATTTTTGTCTACACCAAGCCATACAGTTGAAAACCAGGACATTTTTGATAGTGAGCTCTGTTCTTTGATTGCCAACTCAAAGACCCTTGCGGCATCATGTAATGACTGGACTAGTCCATTACTATAATCTTCACCTTCCAGTGTTTCATCAAGTTTGATCCTCATCTCATCAACGGGATTAGGGGTACTTGCTTTGGAAGTCCTATTAACAGTTACGCCATCATCGGCAGAAGCAAAGGGCAAGAGATGTCCTATCCTTCTTGATTTTTGAAAGGCTAAACATGGTTTCCTAAAATCCACCAATCTGCAACTAAGGCGGAGATCACCCACCTCCAATAAAGAAACCCTTTTGCGGCATCTCTTCCTTATGTTACCCTGCTTGTACCATAGATGATCCAAGACAAATGCTGTTCTGTTAAGAATATGGATACTAATCGATTTACGTGAAAGCCATGGTTTTGAGGAGCTGCAAAAACAAAAATAAAGAATGAGACACAAGCACACAAGTATACTTTTGTGCCAAATTGAGGAAGCTATCGAGTTGCATTAGATGTCAGTCTATCGTCTGCTTGCCAGATATCATGCTTGACACATAAAACTCTTGACCCAATACAATTGAAGGACGCAAAATTTTGAAATGTAAAGTGCACTTTCATGATGAAGAACTAAAAGTCTAGGCTTTCCCATGAGGAATGAGCTGTTTTGGACAAAATCCAAAACTTAAGGAAACTCCCTAGATGGGAGTAATTCTATTCAAAACCTTTGATTGGCTTAAGCATAAGCTCATAAATTCAATGACAAAGAATTAACAAAATTTCACTAATTAAATCATACAGTGACCATTCCAACCCAATCCAAAAGATTAAGGAAAAAAATGTTCCACAGCACAACACAAGTATAGCAATAATGTTCCTCAACTCCACCAAACAACATCTTTCAGTAGTCTTTGGAATAATAAAGTTGTGTTTGCTCTGACTTATATCACAACTCACTCCGATTATTACATCAAATAATAATTTACAAATTGGGGAATTTTTACTGCCAGAAAATATTCTGATAATATTGCGAAAATATTTCCCAGATAATTACGTCAAGAAAGAATAAATATCAAAACCAAAACATCATTAAAATCACTTCCATAGGCACTGTTTAAACACACACTATTCGATCAAAACAATAATCAAAAGTAGGAAACACACTGCCTATTTAAGATCCAACTATTTCTAAGATAATTACGTTTGGGCCATACTTATTTAATACCCAGATAATTCTAAGATAATTACGTCAAGAAAAGCATAAATATCAAAACCAAAGCATCCTCCAAATATCACTGAAATCACCTCCATAGGAACTGTTTAAACTCACAACATTCCATCAAGACAATCATCAAAAATAAAAGAACCAATGCCTATTGAATACCAATAACAAAATTAGATATATTATACTTCCATAAATAAAAACAAAAAAGAAACAAAGATGCAGTGAGTAATTCAACCACAATCGCCAGAAACCCTGGTTTCCGTGAAAACACTCGGATTCCAAAGAGTTCCGAGAAAGAAAACTATCGGCAAAAGATAAAGAAATAATCGGCACTACCTTGAAGAAATGCAACTCTGGTGATGCAACTTCACTGACATGGATGAGAGAGAAAATAAGCGGAGAAGTTTGCGGTGATTCGTGGGAAAAATCGGTGGTGTTTGGGACGCGAGAAGCGAATTCCGAGAAAAAGGTGGGAAAAATCGGTGGTGGTTGGGGGCATGTTTGAGAGTTAAGATACAGAGAGGGAGGGGCTGACGTGGCGAAGAAGTATTATCTGTAGGACGTGGGAAAGCGTATAATCACACAGATTTGGAAAGCTTCTATGTGCGACTTTTGAGTTGAGGGTGTTGGGGTTTTTCTGTGACTCTAGTGGTTGGTTTGGTGGGAACGGAAAGTAAGAGGAAATGAGTTTTTTAGTCTAACGAATTGCGGTTTCACTCCTTTTTTATTTGGTAAAATAGATGAAAAATTAGATAAATTATTTTTCTATCGTTTAGAATGAGAGAAAAAAATGAAAGGAAAGAAAACATAGATAAACTTAATTTATTATTATACCCTCACACAAAAAATTAATTTTTTTTCTAATACAAATAAATTTTTAAAGATTTAAAATTGTTCAAAGAAAGATGCAATTTGTTTTAAACAACGAAATGGCATGCCGAGCTCTAATAATGCCATCATGTTACATACATTTATTCTTTTTTACTTTTTTTATTCCAACTACCTCTATTTAATAGATCCGTTGCATACAAAAATATTTTTAAAAAAAATTGCATCTGCTCAAAGCTCTTGAGTAGTGAAACTACCCGTGTCATGTCATTATCTGACACGTGGCTTTTTTTTGGGGTTCTCAATTTTCAATTATAATTTGGATGCGTTTGGACAAACACAAAAAAGTTTGAAAGGCATAGAAGTAAATTAACATACCAGCACTCGAGTGGTCATTTCTCTCTCCCCTTTTCCCCCCAAAATCGAGAAGATTTATTTTGGTGGGTGAGATGGATTACGTATCCATCTGTTTTTCCATTCCACCTGATTTTCCATTCAAATCAAACAAGGGAAAATGTTTCCTTCCCTCATATTTTTCACTCACTATTTTTCCATCTACTCCATTTTCCCTCGTACCAAGCAGAGTGTACGGGGTGAGATTAATAGGTTAGGTTAGGCACCGTGGTGCTAGGTGGCACTGTGATTGGAGAGAACCTTATGGTCTGTCTCAAATTTCATGTCAGGTGACACTATTTGAATGGATGAGAAAAACATATTTTTGGACCGTGACACTCGCATTCTTGGGCCTCATGAGGGCTCTGTTAGGAATATAGTTGGCCTTACTAGCCTAGTACTGCAATTATTAAGAGTGAAATTTTTTAACAGGTGACTTATTATATCTTTAAGAAAAATTTATCGTATACCAGTGACTTCCTCACTTATTAATTAATGAATAATTTATTAAAAAATTTTGAATAAAAAAAAATATATATATTAAAAGAAATCTAAATCTCAATTATTAGCCATTCAAGTTTGTAAACACGATCTTGATGCAGTATGCCAATTTTCATGGTTGATTACTATTAGCAACTGGAGCCAATATACTCAAATGCACTTTCATTCAATTAGCATATTTCAGATCACGATAGAATAACATTTACCATTGTGTTACAGTCCGTCCTCCCCATAGAAAAAACAAATGGCATAACTGGTCCTATTTTTTTTAGGATCTCAAATGGTCCCTAGTATCTTGGAGATAATTTGAGATGTCTTCATAGTGTTAAGGATGTTTGTCGATAAGACTAGAACCTGAGGTAAACAAAATCTCCAATATTGAAGCTTTGGTAAGTTCGGCGACCATCATAGAATTACTTCATACAATGCTTGATTGCACCCAATTGCTCTCCCAATTCCTTAATAACCAGCTCTCTATCCTGCAGTCCTTGGTCCACTGCTTCAACTGTAGAAGTGCCCGAAACATATGATAAAATTGTAGGTGGAGACTTGCCATACACGATCTCATATGGAGCCATTTTGGTAGAAGAATGAGTGCTTCGTGTTGTAACAAGCTCGTGTTGTAACAATAATCCAACCAGGGAATCCATCACACCCATTCTTTCGGCCTATGACTTGTGAAATCGCAAAGATACATTTCAACTGTTCGATTCACCACCTTGGTTTGACCATCCATTTGGGGGTGGTAAGAAAAGCCGAAGTTGATACTGGTTCCTTGCAAATTGAATAGCTCTTTCCGAAATATCAGTCGCATACGATGCTTTTTGGCATGCCATATAACTTAAATATTTGCTCAAAAAATGTTTGAGCTATAGAAGCAGCCGAATATGGGTGGGATGGATGAACTGTGCAAACTTGGAAAGTCTATCCACAATCACAAAAATAACAGACTTGCCTTTAGAGTTGGGGAGACCTTCAACAAAATCCATTGATATGTCAGCCCATACTTCTATAGGAATTGAGAGAGGTCGTAAGAATCTAACGGGCTTGAGATTCATGCTTTTCTGCCTTTGGCATGTTTCACAACTCCTAATATACTCTTGAATAACTTTTCTCATGCCTTGCCAATAGAAAAACTGACTTCACCCTTTGCAATGTCTTGTCATAGCCCTCATATGTACTGAAGTGCATTTCTTTGACAATAAGAGGGACTAAAACTGAGTTAGCCAATAAATAAATTATGTTCTTAAAGTACATAAGACCACCTCTGTATTCCCAGGGCCTAACGGATTCACCTTACTGACAAAGCTCCACTAAATATTGCAAATTGGCATTGTTCTGGACTTCTTTAATTGGCTCCAACCAAGGGGGGACTGGTGCCGACATAACAATCAATTCACCACCTTCATACTTGCATGAAAGTGCATCAGCTACACAATTCTCCTTTCCCTTTTTGTATCAATGGTGAAATCGAATCCCATGAACTTTGTCAACCACTTCTCTTGTGTCGTGGTGGTAATTTTTTGCTCCCACAGATGCTTAAGACTTCATTGATCAGTTCACACAATGAATTTCCTCTCCAACAAATATGGCCTCCATTTCTAAACTGCAAGAATTAAAGCCAACATCTCTTTTTCGTGAGCCGACAAAAATAAGTTTTTACCTTGCAAGGCATGGCTTAAAAATGCAATGGGTCTGCTTTTTTGCATGAGAACTCCTCCAACACCTGAGCCCAATGCATCACACTCAACAATAAAGGGCTGGTTAAAATCAGGTTTTCTTATGATTTAGGTTTTCTTATCAGCCTTACTTGCATCTTCTGTCCCTTCACACAGGGATCTATTTGCTTCTAGATCTAATCCTTCAAATGGTGATCTGGCCTGATCCACGTTAGGATCAAGCATCATAACTTCCTCAGTAAGAGAAATGTGCGATTCTTTAACCTTTTTGGTGTTTTGTTGGAGAAAATCCTCCTCTTCTAGTGATTTTTCTTGATTATTCATGGGATCCTCATCCACAAATGAGTTTGGTGTAGCCATTGATGTAGAAAGAAAGCAAAGAACNGTTTGACCATCCATTTGGGGGTGGTAAGAAAAGCCGAAGTTGATACTGGTTCCTTGCAAATTGAATAGCTCTTTCCGAAATATCAGTCGCATACGATGCTTTTTGGCATGCCATATAACTTAAATATTTGCTCAAAAAATGTTTGAGCTATAGAAGCAGCCGAATATGGGTGGGATGGATGAACTGTGCAAACTTGGAAAGTCTATCCACAATCACAAAAATAACAGACTTGCCTTTAGAGTTGGGGAGACCTTCAACAAAATCCATTGATATGTCAGCCCATACTTCTATAGGAATTGAGAGAGGTCGTAAGAATCTAACGGGCTTGAGATTCATGCTTTTCTGCCTTTGGCATGTTTCACAACTCCTAATATACTCTTGAATAACTTTTCTCATGCCTTGCCAATAGAAAAACTGACTTCACCCTTTGCAATGTCTTGTCATAGCCCTCATATGTACTGAAGTGCATTTCTTTGACAATAAGAGGGACTAAAACTGAGTTAGCCAATAAATAAATTATGTTCTTAAAGTACATAAGACCACCTCTGTATTCCCAGGGCCTAACGGATTCACCTTACTGACAAAGCTCCACTAAATATTGCAAATTGGCATTGTTCTGGACTTCTTTAATTGGCTCCAACCAAGGGGGGACTGGTGCCGACATAACAATCAATTCACCACCTTCATACTTGCATGAAAGTGCATCAGCTACACAATTCTCCTTTCCCTTTTTGTATCAATGGTGAAATCGAATCCCATGAACTTTGTCAACCACTTCTCTTGTGTCGTGGTGGTAATTTTTTGCTCCCACAGATGCTTAAGACTTCATTGATCAGTTCACACAATGAATTTCCTCTCCAACAAATATGGCCTCCATTTCTAAACTGCAAGAATTAAAGCCAACATCTCTTTTTCGTGAGCCGACAAAAATAAGTTTTTACCTTGCAAGGCATGGCTTAAAAATGCAATGGGTCTGCTTTTTTGCATGAGAACTCCTCCAACACCTGAGCCCAATGCATCACACTCAACAATAAAGGGCTGGTTAAAATCAGGTTTTCTTATGATTTAGGTTTTCTTATCAGCCTTACTTGCATCTTCTGTCCCTTCACACAGGGATCTATTTGCTTCTAGATCTAATCCTTCAAATGGTGATCTGGCCTGATCCACGTTAGGATCAAGCATCATAACTTCCTCAGTAAGAGAAATGTGCGATTCTTTAACCTTTTTGGTGTTTTGTTGGAGAAAATCCTCCTCTTCTAGTGATTTTTCTTGATTATTCATGGGATCCTCATCCACAAATGAGTTTGGTGTAGCCATTGATGTAGAAAGAAAGCAAAGAACGCCTGAGTTTCCCCCTCTACTTTTTTTTTTTTTTTTTTTTTTTTTTGGGGGGGGGGGGTTGGCGGTGTCGTGGGATTTGGAAAAATCAAAACAAAATATTTTCCTGGCAGAGATTATTACACAACTTGAAAAAATTAGCAAGGTAAATGAAAGCAACTCCAACAAATCACACATAGGTTCGACAATTGAAGATCCTCTTAACTGAGTATCCTTCAATTCATATCAAGAAGCAAACTTGAACTGCTATAGTCCAATGCATTGTTAAAATTTTGAACATAGCCAAACTTGTGCACGCATAAAATGACACTGACATATTACTAAGGAAAAAGGAAGTAGCAAATGGTACATGACCCTTACGAATCTACCTTCTCACGACCGACCAGAATTGCCACATCCAAGTAGTCTCCAATCTGAAAATGTGAGACCCAAAGTTACAAAGGAAAGAATTCACAGAATACCAATTACGCAGAGGCAGCAAATAATGGGGGTGCTGTTTTACCTCGAAGTTAAGATCGCCCAATGCCTTGCTGCCATTATCTGGCCGTCTCCCATTTGGATGGGAAAAGGTTCTTCCCACCTACATATAACACAAAGGAAAATTCAAGAGCCAGAACTTCAATATAGTTGTGTTGGACATCTCCGCATGATCGTCTAACACGGAGTGCAAAATTCAGGTAGAATAGTCAAACCCCAGTCAAATTCAGAAGTCACGATTCCATAATATTCTTATAACATCCATTCAAATCTATTCTTCATGTTAGTTACTTTCCATTGTAGAATGATTATGCAATCCAGCCCATGAAGAAAGCCAACAAGATACAACCACCAATTGACAACTAGATCAACATAGCCATTACGTCGTAGGAGACATCTGACCCTCAACTATAAATGCCAAGTTAAGTGCAAGACTAGAGGGCCAATGGACTGACTCAGACTGAGGCTTGAAGTACTGTAAAGAAAACCAAGTGTCGGTCATGAACAACAAAACTTCAAGACGACATCAGGCATAATTCAGAAAAATAACAAGACTGGCACGAAAGAAAGTTTAAGGGGAAGGGCAAACTGAATAGAGAAGAAAAAGCAATGAATGTTCATGAAAGGGGGAGTTCTGGACATTGTTATGCCCAGAATATCTTGCAATTCTTCAGAAAACTATGAACAACTTGGAGAAAAATTTTCTTCCAGAAAGTAAACTCGTCGAACTATTTGGAAATTTGCAAAAGCTAGAAGGTCTAACACACTTAAAGTATGGTCGAATCAAAGACAAGTGATGTCAAAAAACATAACAATGTTTATACGAAAGGATCAAATTTTCTGATTGTATATTGACTTTGGGTAAGTTATAACTCTTGTCATCATTTTCCATACCAGAGATTGAGGTCCAAAAAGGTCAAAAGTTCATATTACAATCAATATTTGGAGTCATTCTGACCAGCTCATATTAATCCGAAGAAGAATAAAAATCTTGATTTGCTCATACAATAACATTAGGCACATGCATGATTTAGAAGAAGGCCACCTAGGCGAGTTCCAAACTTAGAATTTTTGTCAATAGAGTTCCAAAATTCTCAATTCCAACAATTTTTGATTTTTTTCACCGCTGAATGTTCTTTTTATCACTTTATGAATCTTTGGATTTGAGTGACTGAAACTAAAGTTACACATGCAAATGCATGTAGTTCAGATGCCTCCAAGTCAACCAATTTGCTTCAGAGGTGTATAATTGTGCATCATATAGACAATAGCGTGCATGCACACAAACACTCACACAGAGCAAAGACGGAGAGGAAGGGGTACAGGTACCTCTCTAACCACAAAACGCCCATTTCTGTCAGGATACACAAAAGCAAATGATAGAACTGCATCCCTTCTTCTTGATTCTGGGGCCACCTCTTTAACCTAATTAAGGAGTACCATCAGCAAGGGATCCAGGACCAGAACAAACATTTAGACGTAGAAAAATAACAAATTTAAAGGAATCCAGGTAAAAAATAGATGGAACGCAGAGGTCACATGATCATTAGAGAGAATACAGAGGCCACTATATTTGTACACTCATTATTGAGGCAGAATTGGATTGGCATTCCCTCATATCAAAAATGCATTTTGGCTGCAAAGGCGAACTAGGTTGAATACAAGGGTAACAAGATAATCAGCCAACTCATATGGTATAAATGGTTACCACAGTTCACTAAACTCCTAACGATCTACGATCTGGGTACATCAATCCGAAACGAGTTGGATTCGCGATCCAGATCATCAAAATGGACGACCCCAAATTGTAATACTAATCCTAAATCAATTTGCTTTAGAACATGTAACACAAATATAAAATATATTAATTGACTCTATGTATATAGATTTATAATTATATATTTTATAAATATTCTGTAATATATAATGTTGTATGAAAGAGAAAACGATCTACATAAGTGTTCCAAAATGAATTACAACCCAAAATATCGTACAAGGTAAGCCAATCCCCATCATACCACGTACCTAAGAAAGTATCGTACCGTGTTCCCATACCCGTACTACGTACCAAAGCGACCCACAATTCAAGTAACATTTTTAGAAATTGGTCAAATTTTGACAATGTCCACCCACCTTCCCTTCCCCCAAAAGTCCCCTTCTTTATGCTCCTACACCCTTTCTCCAACAAGACTACAGTCCACTACAGTCTTAGGCCAACTATAGTCATTCAGAAAAGAACATGTCCACTATACGTACTAGTAAATCACATACACGAACATGAGAGGAGAAGGTGGGGGGGAGCAAGTATAGAATATACTTACCAGATCAGTTAGTTCTCGGAGAGTAGCATCCTTCCATGTATAAATTTGGACCTCACCTTTCGGCTCTTTGCCTCTCACTGCAAAATCACCAGCAGTATGATGGCCTCCAATCTGTAAAATATCCAAGAGTAAATCTAGGTTTGGTAAGACCATTTTATATTGCTACAGTATGATAGTGACCCACAACTATCCACAGTTCCACTTTACATGTAGCTGATGAATAAACATTTGTACACATTTTACATTTGTATATTGTACAATTTTACCATGCTTTTGACAATGATTAGTTCCTTAAGAGAAGGAGGCAGGGGGGAGTTAATTCTTGTAAGTTAAAAATATAACATTCACGACAATACAAAACAAAAATCATTGGGGCAAGAAAGACTTCATCAATATTAAAATATTTCCACGTGCTAGGTCCAAAATCTAGACTGCACGTGAGGGAGCGCATTGAAGTATAAATACTAAACTTACATCCTCTCTAAAAGCTTAAATTTTTGGAGTAAATGGTTGTTTAACATGTGGCAATCAAACGATCTAAGAAAGAAAAATGTTTCATTTTTCCTTTACCATTCCTTTCTTGTCAATCAAAAGGAAGAAGCTATAAGGATTTGATGCCCACTAAATTAATAAGTGGTCATCATGATAAAGTAAAACACCTTCAAATAGGGATTTGGATCCTCAACCAGTCTTGCCAGATTCTTGCAGAAAAATATTGACAAAAAGATATCATAGAAAATGGCACTGCTGCTATTTTCCTTGCTAATACTTCAACACAAAACATGTTGAAGCCACAAATACTAGCCAATTGACAGAAAAGGCAAGTAAATGAGGTTATTGTTTTACAGGTCCGGTAAAGGAATTATCAATCCGAGGAACCAGTTCCCAAAAGGAATAAAGTAACAGAGTACAAAATTTTCATTAAATAAAAGCCACATAACAATTCAAGCACCATAGGCAAAAGAACTCCAGAAAAGGAGGGCATTAACCAGTACTCCCACTGGCAAGAGACCCTAAGAAGGGAGAACAAGGTATGGACCTAAATTTAGCATTTTCGGCACTCTTTGTCTTTGGAATCAAACATTCGTTCTCACTCTTGGCAGCCTAAGCTTTTATAAATACACCAAGCAATTGCCCCTAGCTGAAAAATAAAAATTGCTAAAAATAAATTTCTTACCCTTATGTGTGAGCTGTATTAGAAGAAAAACAGGAGAAATGAAATGCAAGAAGGTTTTTACAAAGCACAATATCCCACTTTTCTGAAAGGGGCACTTACCTTGGTGAAAACTCGAAGCAACAATGGGCAAGTCTGCATGTCAATTGGGGGAAAATTCCATCAATATGACTAAACAACGGAGCGATGAAAAAGACTATTGACAAGTATGCATGTCAAGGAGAGAAAAAGAACACTTTATCAGCTTGAACAAACAACAAAGCAACCAAAAAAAATAATTTTGAGAAATCCTAAACCCACTCCCATCAAAAGAAAAAAATGCACAAAACGCAAAAAAAGCTAATAAGTAACCAATGGAGAGTATAATGAGCTATCCATCTATAGGATGAAACAAACACCACTTGCCACACATATGTAATAACAGAAGAGCAAGTACAAATTGGTGCCTGAAGACATATGATATTACTTGATACATCCAATAATAAAAGTGAAACTGTTGCTTAGTTCATACAATTTGTAATCACACTTCTTTTTGGTAGGTTCCTCTTCATTTCATTGTGAAGGGCAACTGAGTTTGTTCAGCCCAGTACATTTTTTATGCTGTCTTCCTTTCTCCATTTACATCCTGTTTGGATCTCAGACTCCTTGAGTGAAAAGAAATTAAAATACAAAGTAAATCTATTTCCTTGTTTGATTGCTAGGAAAAATTAAAGGAAGGAAAAGGAAATACAAGTAAAGACTGGATTTTTCACTTTTTTATAGTCCCATTTTCCCTATGATACAGAGAGGTAATTGGGCAAAGCACCGTGGAATATATTGTAATATCTTAGCTAATACCAAAATGTAACTCTATAGTCAATTATAACAACTGTTGACCTACTAGCTTTTACCAAAAAGAAAATTGGTGCAACCATTGCTTCGCTTCCTGCATGCGCTCCATCCCCACACAGTGCCTAATACACTCGTCCTTCTCCTACGTGCAATGGTGAAAATCGTAGTCCTTCATCCTTCATATAGCCTTTTATGGAACAAAGGGGGATCAAGGAGGTTGCCACTAAACACTCACCTCCCAAATTTTCAGTGTGCATTGTGAACGAAAAATAATAGTATTTCTTACATCTCTAGCTCCCCAAAAGAAATGATAGACAAATGTAACTGTGCACAAATGGTGTGGTGGCAATACGCTATAGCCTATACATGATGATTCCACTTATCTGTCTCATTTTCTTCAATTTCACAGCACGATTTGTTTTCAAAAAAGTCTGTGTGTGTATGTTACAAGTGTTGTTGTGTGTTTGAAGGTAATAAATGCTAAAAATAACATGAATTTGAAACTCCCTCAAATAACAATTTGAAAACTTTGAATGAGATACTTAAAAGAATATGATAGCTTGCCGACTTAACAGAAATTATGGCTATGCACAATTGAGGAATAGGATTCAGCCGACCCCAAATAATTGAGAACATGATTTGTTAAATTCACAAAAACCCACGAAGACCCTGAAAACATTAAGGTTCAAACTATCCCAAAACCCCTCAAAAAAACACTCAAAGATGAAAAAGGTACATGCTTTGCATCCTCGAAAGAAAACCCATGTATACCCATATAAATTGACACCAATTACACAAATACACGCTGAATATACACATAGAGAGATATATTCATATTCATGTACACAGGGAGGGACAGAGGGAGAGAGAGATGGTGGGGACCTTCTCGCGATCGACGGGTTCGAAACGAGGGGGAAGCTTAGGAGCAGGAGGAGGTCCAGGTAGGGACGTGGCCGATGGAGGGGGAGGTCTCCCTGTTCTTCTTTGAGCTCCTACTCCTGCCATCACTCTCTCCCTCTCTCTCTCTCTCTCTCTCAGTTTCCTTCTTACAGTCCGTGGATGCAGATGCTTGGAGTTTCCTGGCAGTATGGGACTGAATCTGAATTGATGATCCCACATATATATAATAAATGTTGGATTTTTTTGATATTTAAATTATTATATACAAATCTCCTAAAATTTGTTTTAACGTAACACTCAGACTCTGTCATTTATATCAAATTACTAAATTATATTCAGACCTTTGAAATTTATAGGCATAAAATACTTAGATTTCTTAAGTTTAAAATGTTATACGCATATCAAAAATATAATATTAAATATTTTAAATTTTATAATCAAATTTATATTCTATTATAACATTTATTTAAATGAAATCAAAAATAAAAATCTAATTTTTTCTTAAAAAATTATAATTAGTATACAATTATACTATGTATTGAAATTTAATTTTAAACTACCAAATTACTCTAATTAAAGCCAGAAGATATTGTGTTTATCACACTTTGACCCCTTCTTTGATTTTTTAGTTTTATTTCAGTAGATAGTATAATTGCATATTAATTAGGATTCTTGAGAAAAATTAAATTTTTATTTTCTATTTTATTTCAATAAATGACACAACAGAACATGAATTTTGATTGTAAAATTCATGTTCTATTATGAATAACTTAGATCTCTTTGATTCTTTAGTTTTATTTCGATAAATAATATAGTTGTATACTAATTACAATTTTTTTTTAAAAAAATTAGATTTTTATTTTGATTTTATTTGAATAAATGATACAATAAAAAATAAATTTTAATTATATAATTTAAATATTTGATATTCTATCTTCGATTGAAATATTTTTTGTTTAAGTATAATATTTTAAATTTGATTAGTTTAAGTGCTATACGCCTATAAATTTTGGGGGTCTAAATATAATTTATTAACGGATAAAAAAAATATTATGTGATGTCACATATAAGTAATAAAAAATAAGTAAAATAAGCTAACTTTATTATTTTAATTTTATATGATTATTCATATTTGAAGAGATACGAAGACTCTTTGGTCAATAGTTTCACTACAAATTACTTTTAATATCAATGTTTTTCATTTTTTATTAATTTTTTTTTGGGAGACAGGGAGGGGGTTTGAATCTTTGAACTTAAGAATGCAAACCTTGCACAAAATAAAGAGTATTATTAGACCAAATTTCTTCTTTTCGTCTAAAATTTCCTCCTTTTTTAAACAATTTTTGAGAGAGAAAAAGAAGAGTTTATCTCACTCTACTCTACTCTTGCACTCTACCGATGAGCCGGGCGATTTGACAAAACAGGACGGTTCAAACGTTATTTGTATAAAAACCAAATTTTTCCAAAAAAATACGAGCCGTATTCACTGTTTTCCTCCAGTGGTCAAGCCTTCTCTATCTCTCTCCNAACAGGACGGTTCAAACGTTATTTGTATAAAAACCAAATTTTTCCAAAAAAATACGATCCGTATTCACTGTTTTCCTCCAGTGGTCAAGCCTTCTCTCTCTCTCTCTCTCACGATGGAGATAAGCACTTACAATCTTTGTCTCTCACTCTCAAGAGATAAGGCTTCTCCACTCGATCTCTATCCTCATGTGGTTTCTCCAACTCTAAGTCCTTTTTCTCTCTATCTCTTTCCATAATCCAAACGCACTTCAGCGGAGGATTTCTTCGGTCATCTTCTCGAAAGTCCAGATCTCTTCTGTCGCTCTCGATCTCCTGTTGATCCAGCCTCTCTCTCGCTCTCCGTGTGTGGATCTCTAATAGTCAAACTCCGGCCACAAATGTTCAGCTACCGAAGATTGTGGATATAGATATAATATTGTATATAATATTGGGGTTTAGATGGTGTTAGATGTTTTACAGCTATGAGCCTATGAGTGTTGGGGTTTTGCAAAGGAGAGACAGAGAAATGGTCGTGTGGAGTATGGAGTTGTCCTTTCTCTTTATTTTTTTTGTTTGTTTGTGCTTTTGTGTATGTAGTAAAAATGGTACTTCAATATTTGATTTTCAATATTTAATTTTAAGAAGTTAAAATTTTTATAAAACAAGAAATATTATTAGAGTAAAAAATCCATCAATAGACAATCAATAACTCCCAAATCACTGAGTATGAATATATTAGTATGCACACAATGTAAGTATTTTGAATATATGTTATGTTATATTTTTTTAGTTAAATTATTATATTTTATAATAATTTTATTATACGACCAGTCCGATTAATTAAACTAAACAGTTAAATCAAAGAATCATTGATCCGATTTTTCTATTGATTCGATGTTTGATTCAACTCTGATAACATTGCCTTGGAGTCTAGTCATAAAGAATTTATCCCTTGTCATAATCCCAATAAGAGGAGATTAATGTAGATGTACGTAAATTAGTTCGGGTACCATTAAACCAAAAAAAAAAAATAACTTACACAAATAAACTACATCTGGAATTACGCTTGACATCGTAATTGAACTATTATTTTAAACACCAAAAGAAAATTCGTAATTGAACAATATTTATATCCATTCATGGTCAAACACCCATTGCTTCGAACATCCCAACTTTGTACCCCATGAAGGGTGTATTTTAAGACTAAAAGTATGCCAAAATGAACAAAAACTCATAGCAAAATGAAAATAAAAAACAAAACTCACGAAAAAATGGAAGACAATCATTATTTACAAATTCCAAATGTTACTCACTCTTTGGCTCAAAGTCTTTTGTGCTTCATTTAATGCATGTCCCTGTGTATATACGAATTAATTATATGAGGGTAATATAGACAAAAGGGGCATAGCATTTCTACCTTTAAATATTTATTTGTAATTTTTTAATAGCATTACCTATATCACCTTTACATTAAATATTTATTAGGAGTTCCGGGTATAGTTGTCAAGTAATTTTTTTAATATTTTTTTTTGGAGGGGGAAGGGGAGGGGGAGGGAGAGTGGGAAAGGAGGTTGAACCCTTAACTTCGAGAATGTAAAATTTTTACAAGATAAAGAGTACCATTAGACCAAAGACTCATTGATAGTTGTCCGGTAATTAAACCCAAGCTAAAAACATATATAGGCCTAAGTCTGTCAATGGATCAAATTTTGATCCGAATTCGAACTTAAATCGGATTCGACAGATATATATTAATAATTTTTACCGATTATCCAAATTTGAGTCAAATATCTTATATTTTACGGATTTGAATTTGAATATATTTATATTCGATCCAATACAAAAATATTTTATATATTTTTATATAAGTATCAAAGAAATTAAGTTATTATTTGAAAAAAATTAGATATAATTTATTAAAATTTGGTTAAATTAAGTTATTTGAATTGAATCGAATTTGAGATTGTTAATAGATTTGTATATGAACCACAAAAATAAAATAGGGTCATCGAGAACCTCCACAGTGAAAAATGTTTTGTCCAAAAGTCCTTTGATGATAAAGAAAGACTTGACTATCCTTTTGCTATGCAGCGGTTACCTAAAACGGTTTTGGAAAAATAAAATCTATAATAAATCCTTTCCATTTAATTCTCTCTCTCTCTCTCTCTCACGCTTCAACTTTGGCTATCACCCAACAAACAATCAGCGTGTTCCTCTGAAAGCGGAGGTGCGAAATTGGAACAAAACTACCTTGAGTCTAACATTTAAACTGCATTTGTGGGTTATCAAATCTTGGTTTTGTTCTTCCGATTTGGAGGTGCTGCCACACTAATCGTCAGTATTCAACCAGAAAAACAACTGAACATAGAGGTTGTGTCTGTATTCTCAATGATAAGCAATGCTTGTTCTTCGTTTTTTTGGTATCGTATTTGTTTCTGAAATGGTTGAACACCATTTTCTACTGTTGATTATGGATAGTTGTCTTTTTTGGTTTTAGGCAAATGACATTTTGAGAAATTATGATTTTGGATGTTTGTATAATTTTGGAACCGTAGTTTGTATTGTTGATTGTGGATTTTTTTTTTTATGGGTAAATCACATTTTTTGTTAATATTTAATTGTATTTGAAAAAAAAAATAGAAACTTGGATTTGTATGCAAAAATTGTTGTTGTTCTTAACTTTTTACACAAGTCTAGAGCCTATAATAGGACTGCTCATTGGGTGGCAGTCTATCATCTATCCAGTTCCCTTCTGTTGGATTAGTTAGGCTCTCCCCACCCGAGCTTAAGACTTTTCTTCTCGCTTAGTGTAATTTGAATTTTCCTACTTAATATTATATATCCTGGTCTTGCTCTAATAAAAAAAAAAAACACTATATTGGTACACTTTTTGAGTTTCAATATTCACCGAACATTGTATAACTATTGAACCCTGTTTTCTATTGTTCACTCTGTTTTTTGTTTTTGGCTTTTTTGGTTTTTCTGGCTGGTTGTTGCTGCTCATTTGGTTGAACAATTGTTTCTGTATTTTCTAGTGCATTGTTGCTTCTCATTTAATGGATGGGTTTTTATTTTTTGGTTTTGGGTAACACATTTATTTGAAAAATGTTGATCGTGGTTGTAAAAATAGTAGGAACTTGAGATTCTCACTACGAAACTGTTATTGACACAGTGTATTGATACATTTTTAAGTTTCATGAAAATATCCTAGTAAAAAAATTCTTGAGACCTAGTTTATTTTGGTGGTTATTGTTTTTTGTTTGGGTCAATCACTTTTTAAAAAAAATAAAAATTGAGTGTGGATGTACAAACACTAGAAATTAGGAATTTACAAGCATGCAAAAAAACTATGCAACATCAAGAACTGATTGACTAAATAAACGAATTATCCATGCATTTCATAACTCTGAGATATTAACAAAATCCCAACTCAGTAGAAGAGCAGGAAAAGAAAAAGAGAGCAAAGTTTTGAGGACTGTGAGAAGAAAAGAAGTAAGAAGCAAAGTGTGACAGCAGGTGAGTTGACAACTAAAAACATGATCAATAGGATAGGAACCGGAAAAGACATTGACATTATTGAAGTTGATGATACAATGGACAATTTTTTTTCTTTTTTAAAACAATGGACAATAGCACCACAATTAAAGGAAAAACCCAGAGGGAGTTTAAAAAATTGTTGCGAAATTGTC